GTGGGGTTTTATTAGTCAGGACAGCAATATAGTCCCTGAAAGATGGTTACTGAATTCCCGTAATGTACGTCTGGGCTTCCTAAAAACATCTGGCTAGTTATGATGCAAAAAAGACCCCAAAAAAACCCCAAAGAGGCTTCTCTGAGGGCAGCAAACATTGTGGGGAGAGTCTATGGTAGCAAAAAAATAAAAAAATCAGGAGTCTAATAGCACCTTTTCCAACTAATACATCTTATTAAAAGGTACGGTTCTGATTTTAGAACTGCAGGAAGGAAACAGAGGCTCTCCTCACTTGTTCCCTCCAAATCTAATCACCTTACCCCTCATAAATTTGTCAAACTTGGCTATTGGAGGAGAATCAAGTTTGAAAGGGTTCCAGAAATTACACAGGGGAGCCAGTCATGCTGAATGGAGCCTAGAATATCACAGCTCAAATGGATGTGGGCTTCAGTGAATCATTCATGTAAAGAAAACCAGTCATGCATGAGTTCATACGTTAAATGAAACTCCAACATGAGTTTAGACCAATCACTTTCTCTCAGTCCAGCCTACTTCACAGAGATGTTATGAGGGAACTCTTGAAATGAAATGAACGAAAGGTGGGATATAAGCCTAAGGTATAAATGACTAAATTAATAAGCAACTGGGCTCACATATTATGATATGCCAAACCCAAGCAAATTACATTTGACTTTTGGCCATGTATGTATGAAGCGCCAGAATCAGCTTCACATAGCCATGGTTAAGTATGATATCTGAACATAGCCTATGATTGGGCTTATACAACTGGCTAAGGCATAATGTGTTTTGTGATTCTGGCTTAGTAGCAATGCATGAACACAGCTATAGTGGTTTGTAAGTCATCGCTTATGGCTTAGTGAAAGGCATGTATCCAGCCAATGGTGGCTTATTCAACAAACTAGAGTTAAAATGATGCAAGTCCTTCACATACAAATATCAATGTATAAACACTTCTACTGGGGCAGATTTCCATGATTTATGGTTGCTGTCAACCACCACTGAGAAAAACTGAAGCCTCATCTCTTCTCTTCCTCCAAAGCAGTATCACGGACCCAGGCATTAGCAAGGAACCCTCCCTAAGCTTTACCTGTCTCCAGCTGTGGAAGTTTATAATTTGAAATCTCGAAATCATACATCTTTTTCTGTCTTTAACACTTCCCACCAACATCTCACTCCGTTTGAAAACTCCACTCTTTTTTCATTACTACCCACCAGAATTTTATCAGCCATCTGCTGGATTTGCTGAGATTTTGTCTGGATATCTTCTTTCAGTCGGTTCTCTCGGCGTTCCACCGTCTCCAGCCGCTTCACTTGGTTCTCTAGAGAATGGCGTCTTTCCTAGCCAATGTTCAAGAAGGCAAAATGAACGCAAAAGGAATCTGGATAGTCCCCCAACATAATGCCATCACAGGAAGACCATATCTCAGATCCTTGGAGGATGAATTTGAGTAAAAAAGCCAAAGCTGGTATTTGAAAATAACAAAAAAGAAGAAATGGCGATGATTTTAAACTGCCACTCTGCCATATGACATGTTTGTCCAGTTCCAAATCAATGAACTACTGTATAGCTTCCTGCTACAAGCAGAGATGACCACAAGCCACTGCCTGCTCTCCAACTGAATTCTTGACTTAATCTAAACTTGGGTTCAAATTCCCCAAATGCTATTGCCATTAAACAAGCTTCAGTTAACAAACAAAATCAGGCTACAACACGAGGATTTTTGTTGCATTTGAACCAAGCCTGTAAAAGTTACAACTTGCTAACCTCTGCTTCCAGCAATTTCTTTTTCATGCTTTCATTGGAGTCCTCCCGGTTTTGCAATTTCTCTAACTCCTTCTCTGCTCTCTCTTTCGCTTGGCGTATGTTCTGAAGCAATTCAGTGGCTTCCGAGCTGGCCTTCATAGCCTTAAAAGATAGATGATGATGAAGATCAATGCTGACTGTTGCATACATCTGGGCAAACATTGAAGCGTTTCAATAACCATTCCACATGTTTTTAATTTAGCACATCACATAATTTGATACATTATGGGGAAAAAAAATCAACACTCAATACACTGCTCCCTACATTACTCTTATTTGTATTTGTCAAAGGAAGGAAGGAAGGAAGGAA